TGCTTCTAATAAATAAAAACAGTTGAAACTTTAGATTTTTCAATTGAAAAATATGTAGATTAATATGGTATAAAAAAATTCATACCTTATAATTCAAAAATTTTTCATCCTTAATTTAATTAAATAATAAAAAATAATTAACAATTATTAAAAATTATTTTTTTCGTGAAATTATCTTTGGGTAAATGAGTTTTATGACTGGGTGAAATTTTCTTCGAATTGCTTTATTAGTTTTTAAAATATGACAAAAAACGTAAAAAGTGAAATTAACATTAAGGGGTACGAAGTTTGGATCGCTCTCCTGACCAAACTATGGGGACCATATTTCCCAGATTGCGGCTACCCCCTATATTTTGAAGGTTAAGAATCCAAATATGTAAGAAAAAACATATGTTTATTCAGAGAAAGTACGTTTTTGTGTCTGATTTCGTAACTTAATTAATAGTTAGCACTAATTAATTAGCATATTTGAGGTCACCCCCAAGAACCATTAGGATTAACACTTAGTTCGTGAAAATCCGATCATTAGAACGAAAGTTATTCAGGGTGATATCTTTTTTTTTTTTGCGGACTGTACATGGAATGATGTTAATACTTTTGTTTCTTTGAAATTAAATCAACATAGTCCCTAGTCTAGGGATTCTAGTATTCATTTTTTGAATTTTATCAGATAAAAAATTTTTGCCTTTGTAAATGTTATTAACAGGAATTATTAAATATTTTGAAATCAATGTTCTAATTTGTATTTTTGTTACTGTTAAAAGCTGGGTTTTTTTTTTTTCAGTTTGTTCAATTTTAATAATCCAGTTCTTTTTTATTGTTGTTTAAATTGGCTTAATACAATATTATTACATCATCAGATTTCAATAACGATTGTTTGTTAATGATTAATTTGAAAATCACTTTCTGTCATATTTAATTCCATTGTAATTTCTAAGTGTTTTTTTTTAACTCCCCTCCCCCCAACAATTACAATGGATGTGCGAGGAAATGTTTAAAAACTACATGTAAGACGAACTACATTCGCATGTTTAAATTGAATACAGTTTGAAAGCACCATAATGTTTCGATTCGTTTAACTTTCGATTAGCAGAAATTTCATTGTAATTTCACCTATTTTTATTTTTTTAATTTATTAAATTATTTTTTTGAAAGGCAAAGAATGGGATTTAGGGCAAAGATGCTCCGTTTTATAAAAACGTGGATTTTTTTTTTTTTTTTTTNTTTTTTTTTTTTTTTTTTTTTTTTTTTTTTTATAATCTAGGGTTTGAATCCATTTCTTGATCAAGTTCGTTCTGATGCTTTGGGTGCATTTTTTTTCATTTGACAAAATGATTCAACTATTAAATGAATTGTTATTTAGCCATTTTTGTTTGAGAAATTTCTAATTTTGTAGTTCAATGAAAATATGATCAATTTTGTAACGAGCACAGTTTGGACAAAATACAGTAAAATAGCTCTATATTTAAATGTAAATAAATTGTTAAATTTCAAATCAGAAATAAATTTAAAAATATTATGTAGGATTGCCTGGAATTATTATTATTGTTATTTTTGCTTAATAAAACTATAGTCCATTTGGTACCCTGTGTGCAAAAACTACTAATATTGACACATCAAAATATTTTTTATTCAATAAAAACAATATATTCTTCAAGCTTAACATATTTTCTTCACATATTTTCTTCACATATTTATCTTAATTTTTAAAAACATAATGTTGCACCAAAACATTGAAATTTAAAAAAATGAAAAAGAAAAAATTAATCTCGTTAAAATAAATCCAATCTAATAATTTTGTCAAGATATATTACAACAATTACATTTTGAATAAAATACTTAATTGGCACTTTCTGGGCGATTAAGTACCCATCTTAAACTTTATGAGGGAGAAAAATATACTGACCCGGAAATTTTAAGATTTCAACCTGGAAAAATCAAAGAAATTTGAAACCTGATTTAAGTGTTCACCCTGATGTACGGAATGAGACCTTTGTGACCCTAGCAGCTCAAGATTACGCAGGCGTGATTTCAGTAAGGTATTCTTGTATTAATACCTATAAACTCGGAGCATTCAGACCTTGAGAAGAACTTTTTTCTTCATACGTTGGCTAAAAATTAATTATTATTGAATTATGAAAGCTCAAAGTTGATTAATGAAAATTGAATAAAAAATTATGTCTCCTCTGTCGACTGAATATTTGGGTTCTCTAAAGTAGGGCAAGTCCCAATAAGACTTTCAGATTGTTCATGTCTTAAACCATTAAGTATTGTAACTTTTTCAATGTTATTGAAATAAAATTATTTTGTCTCTTTTAACCAAAATTAATTTGTTTTCAGATACAGTAACTGAGAATCAGAATGTCAAATCAAATAATAAACCAAAGAGACGACAGCCTCTCAATAAATCTAAGAAAGCGACAGATTTGGCAAAAATAGGTATACTTAAATCTATTATTACCTCCTATTTTATATATATANTATATATATATACATTAATATATATATATATACATTCATAACCTAATTAACTGGAATTATAAATAAATTTACTTTAATAGCAAGCAGTTATAGTTTCCAACATAATAGCTTTCTGTTATATTTGTCTATTAAATTAGTCTGTTTAAAGATTAATAAATTTGTAGTTAAATTTAGTGTTCCTTTTCATGAACTCTTTTTAGCACTAGCTCATCTCTATTAAATATTCTTATATTTTCTTAATGTCAGTCTGACATTTTTACCTAAAAAATCTCATCTGCAATATTTATCAAAGCACATCTACAAACAAACCTATCAATATGCATCTTAGGCAATTGCAATTAAAAAATAGCATACTAATTAAAAAAAATTTTTTGTAAAAATAGTGCTTAAGAAAAAATTTATTTTGATATTTTCAAACATTTGAAAATATAATGTGAAATGTGTGTGAAATATTGCTATGAAGCTTAATTATTTTAATTAAATAGTCAATACTTAATTTTCTAATAATTATAGAAAAAATAACTAAAAAGAAATATATAGAACTTTATTTTAATTCTTTATTAGATTTTAGTTCTTGTTTTTTTTCCTCTCTTTTATAGTTCAGGAAAAGTCATTAGTAAATGGTAATATTGAACAGCATACACTTACAAGACGTACCAGTCCACATATTTTGGAAAATGAAAGTTCGTCGTCAAGTTCAATCCGTTCAATCAATTCTGATAAAGTAGAAAACCTTAACCATAATTCAACTTCTGAATCTGACCCAAGGCAATCTTCAAATAATTGTTCTAAATTAGAATTACAATCTCAATTCAAAGCAAATTGCTCAACTTCATTCTGGGAGAAAAATTGTGTATTAGGTAAATATTACTTACCCTAGAAAATTGTTCTTATACAGAAAACATATTGCTATTCAATTTGGTAAAAAGGAACTCAATTTTTAACACATCTTTCACTTTTAACCAAAATTATATTTGTTTTCAGATACAGTAAATGAGAAACAGGAAGGCAATAGTAAATCAAAGGAACGAGTAGATTCATTAAGTACAGGTATGAGTTTATTCACCTCCTCTATGTGTATTCCTATACCTCTATGTGTATTCCTTGTCACCTCTATGTGTATTTGTTGCTTTTTTTTATTAAACATAAACTACTTTATTATTAGTTCCAGTGACTAGGGAACTGCCTCCCAATAAATTATTTTTTACTTTTATTCTTTGAACTTCACAGCGTTTTTATTTTAAAATAAACTTCTAAATCAAAGCGCATTTATAAACAAACCTATCAATATGCATCTTAGGCAATTGTAGTTAAAAAATAGCATACTGTTTGTTTTTTGTTTTTTTTTGTTTTTTTTAAATAAAAGTGCTCAAAATTTTTTTTTTTAGATATTTTCAGACATTTGAAAATAAAATACTTAATAGTGTGTGTGTGTGAAATATAGCAATGAAACTTAATCATTTCATTAAGATAGTCAATCAGAAATAAATGCAACATGTATATAAACTTAATTTACTAATAACTATAGAAAAAAATATATAATATTTACAGTAGAAAATAGTTCTTTTACAGAAAACATATTGTCATTCAATTTGGAAAAATTTACTCTATTTTTAGCAGATCTTTCTCTTTTAACCAAAATTTATTTGTTTTCAGATACAGTAAATGAGAAACAGGATGCCAATAGTAAATCAAAGGAACAAGTAGATTCATTAAGAACAGGTATGAGTTTAATCCTTCTCACCTCTATGTATATTTGTTGCTTTTTTTTATTAAACTTAAACTGCTTTATTATTACATACCTGCCAACATTCACTCTTTTCGAGAATAGAATTTCCAAGTGGTAGTAAAACAATTACCGAAAAACTATCTTCCTCAAAAATATATTTATATTTTAATCGGGTTGAAATTCGCTATCGTAAGGACTAATATGCTTTTATATATTTGTTGTAATCATTTATAAGTAGTGGTGGTCAAACTCATTTATAATTATTATTATAATTCAAAACGCTTAGCGGAATAACATGAATTTCGCTACCACTTTAAATATGAAAATAAAATCTTCGGGGAAAATCGGAAGAGTTGGCAGCTATGTTATTAGTTCCAGTGACTGGGGAATTGCCTACCAATAAATAATATTTTACTTTTATTCTTTGAACTTTACAGCTTTTTCATTTCAAAATAAACTTTTAAGTCAAAGCACATTTATAAACAAACCTATCAATATACATCTTAGGCAATTGTAGTTAAAAAATAGCATACTGATTTATTTTTTTTAAGTAAAAGTGCTCAAAAAATCTATTTAGATATTTTCAAACATTTGAAAATAAAATATTTAATAGTATGTGTGTGAAATATAGCAATGAAACTTAATCATTTTATTAAGATAGTCAATCAGAAATAAATGCAACGTGTATATAAACTTAATTTACTAATAACTATAGAAAAAAAATATATAATATTTACAGTAGAAAATAGTTCTTTTACAGAAATATTGTTATTCAATTTGGTAAAAAATAACTCTATTTTTAGCAGATCTTTCTCTTTTAACCAAAATTTGTTTTCAGATACAGTAAATGAGAAACATGATGCCAATAGTAAATCAAAGGAACAAGTAGATTCATTAAGAACAGGTATGAGTTTAATCCTTCTCACCTCTATGTGTATTTGTTGCTTTTTTTATTAAACTTAAACTGCTTTATTAATTCCAGTAGCTGGGGAGCTGCCTCGCAATAAATAATTTTTTACTTTTATTCTTTGAACTTTACAGCTTTTTTATTTCAAAATAAACTTTTAAATCAAAGCACATCTATAAACAAACCTATCAATATGCATCTTAGGCAATTGTGGTTAAAAATAGCATACTTATTTATTTATTTATTTATTTTTTTTGGTGTTCGAAAAATCTATTTTGATATTTTCAAACATTTGAAAATAAAATACTTAATAGTGTGCGTGTGTGAAATATAGCAATGAAACTTAATCATTTTTTTAAGATAGTCAATCTAAAATAAATACAACATGTAAATAAACTTATAGTACTAACAACTGTAGTAAAAAAATAGCTAAATGTAAATATATGAAACTATATTTTCAATTCTTTGTTAGTTTTTTAAAAATTACTTTTCTTTAACTTTAAATATTGAAAAATATCAGTTTCTAAAATCAAACAATTTTAATTTGCATTTTAGTTGAATATGTTAAAGAAAAATTTCTGTTCTCTCTTTAATAGTTCTAGAAAAGTCATCGGAAAATCAAATAAATGAGCAGCCTGCATTTACAGGACATAACAGTCCTCATATTTCAGAAAATTGTAGTATGTTGTTATCAAGTTCAATCCTAACAAGAACTGATGAGGTAGAAATTCCTCCTACTCCTGAATCTGACTCTGACGGACGGACGGACTCTGAATCTGACGGAAGGCAATCTTCCGTGTCTAGCTCCAGTAATTGTTCTGAATATGAATTACAATATCAACCCAAAGCAATTAATTCAACTTTGTTCTGGAAGGAAAATTACGTACTAGGTAAATAATATTTACAGTAGAAAACATATTGCTATTCAATTTGGTAAAAAGGAACTCAATTTTTCGCAGATCTTCTCTTTTAAAAAAATTAATTTGTTTTCAGATACAGTAAATGAGAAACCAAGGAAACGAGTAGATTCATTAAGAAGAGGTATGAGTTTCATTCTTGTCACCTCTATGTGTATTTGTCGTTTTTTTTTTTCATTTACCGTATTTTTCGGCGAAAGCGCCGCTTCGTCGCAAGCGCCGCACATCGATAAAATTGAAATTTAAAAAAAAAAAGTTATTGTAAGCGCNCTTCTAGGGCAGGTTAAGAAAAATACGGTAACTTAAATTACTTTGTTATTAGTTCCAGTTGCTGGGGAACTTCCTCGCAGTAGATCATTTTTTATTTTTATTCTTTAAACTTTGCAGCTTATTTATTTCAAAATAAACTTTTGTATTATGTGATGTGATTAAAAAAAAGCATTACTTTTCCCATTCGTTGTAAAATCTTTTATTATTGTTATGCCTTATTTTTTATTATGACCTTTTTTTTTTAAAGTATGGATTGAGTAATCTTTAGTTTCGAATGAATTTTGATATTTAAAACATTTATTTTATGCAAATTTATAACTAAATTGACAGATGAAAAGTGTTTAGTCTCCAAAACATGACATTTATTTCAAAATTATGTTAGTGCGAACTTTTGACTCTTAATACTTGTTTAATACAAACTATTTAGATTATTAACTGGTTCAAACCTTTTTCTTCTGGACACTGCCAAAAAAACTTTCTAGTCGGACTATAGTATCCCAGTAAAGGTATTTTATTTTTTCTCTTTTTACCTTTTTTTGATAGTTCATTTACTTAACTTTTTGAGGCACACCTGCAAAAGAGTGTTTCTCTTTGTTTTTATAGTTTCATATTTTAGAACATAAAAGTTTTCAAATATGTGACTCTAAGCCTATGAGCCACCTACAATATTACTACAAAGATATTAATAATTGATAAAGTTATGTAACTTTCTCAGCATTTTGACTAATTTAAAATTAGACCATGATAGGGCAGTGTTTTGTCCACTCCTTATACATTTATCTTAAGGTTCTTGGAGGTTTTGATCAGAAATTATCAGCTATAAATGTTTTCTCAGAAGGAATGTATATTTTTATTGTTTTTTGCTGCTAATGCTTTGAAAAGAGAATATAAATTCTGACTTAAATAAATTGTAAGCCTGTTTAGTTGCAGGCTATTAGGTTAAAGTAACTAATATCTTATTGTGTGTATTTTTTTATGAACTACAAGGAGTGATCAAGAGGTACGAAACGACATAAAAACGTAGCAGTTAAATATTTGCATATTCCGCCATGGAAGAACGTAGCGAGACATCTCGGGATGCGATTGGAGTCTCTGACTGAGATCGGAGCATGCGCGGACGAGAGCATATGCTCTTATCAAAAGCGGCGTCCAAATGATGTGACAGTCCGTATGAGGAACTCGAGCACAGAAAAACCATTAACTCCCATGTATACTGAGAGGCACTCCGACGCCTACGCAGGTCCAAAGACGGGGGCTGCTCACGGAGGGTGTGGTTCTGCTCCATGATAACGCTCGTCCACGCGTCTACAGAGTCACGCACATGGAACTGGCCAAGTTCAAGTGGGAGAGGTTGAACCATCCGCCCTACAGTCCGGACATGTCGCCCTGCGATCTCCTTGCGTTTGGTTCACTGAAGAAACACCTGAAAGGGAAGCGCTTAGACTCGGACGACGTATGCAAGGACGCTGTGAAGGACTGGGTATCGTCATGGCCACAGGAATTCTGGTAACAAGGAATCTTGCAGCTTGTTCATCAGAGGTATTGTTGTACTCAGGCCTATGGTGTATATTTCGAATAAAGTCTACATTTGTACCCACCGTGCCATTTCGTACCTTTTCATTTGATCACCCCTTGTAATTCATCTCTTCAGATTAAAGCATTTTTTAAAAAAAATTTCTTTGCCCAGTTGTAAAAAATTCTGTATCAGTTTGACTTTTAAATAACTTTTTCTTTGACATTGAATTATTTTTTAATTCCATTAGTTCACTCACTTCCCGATGTCTCAGATTACACCCAAATGCTAAGCAGGATTGATGCCGAAGAAGTGTCATCGGAAGAAGGTTAATTATCTTGACTGTTGTTACTGCTCTCAATGTTGTTATTGTTATACTAAACTTGTTTTGTGTGCTCTAGGGTTTGTGTACTCTAGTTTTTGAGGTTTTATATAAAATTCTTAAGCAAATAGTTTAAGCAAATTTAAATTTTTTTAAATAATTTTTTTATGTCTAAATGAATTGTTTCTGAAATTGTCTACTAACTAACATTGTTTCTAAAAAATACTTGAGCTTTAAAAGTTTTTTTCCCTCATTAAAATTGGGCAATATTGTAAAGTTTAAAATTACAAACAATAGATAATGTCTATAAAATTTCTTAAAATTGAGCACTTCTTAGTTACTAAAATTAATTAGTTTCCTTAGTTTTGGTAAAATTTGAATTATGTAATCACTTTTACTGATTGCTATATGAAATTGATAGTTAAACAATACATAAATGTTGCAATATATATCCTTTTTTTCCATTTAAACCAGAGTTGGTAAGGTTTAAGGCAGAATGGTTTAATCCACGGTTTAAACCACCCTGTCCAAAGCTGTTTTAAACTGTCCAAAACCCTTTTATTTAAGTTATGTCACAATTTTAAAAAAATATGTGAAAAATAAAAGATTAATTTTTAAACAAGAAACAGAATAAAGACAAGTTTTTATTTTATTATAAAGGTTTATTATTATTTTTAATATTGCATTATTTATTCTTATTTAAGAGGTAAGGTACTTACTTTTGTTGTTCAGTGAATTGTGGAGCTTCAAAAGTTATAAATCTTTCCCTATTATATATCCCTTAATAAGTTAAAGCAAATTGCTTAAAAGTATAAAAAATTTATTAATATATGTAATTATTATGTGTGCAATGGTCACGCCAAATTTTACCTTTTACCAAAGTTCAAGGTTTTGGACACTTTAGTCTATTTAGGATAGTTTAAGACAGTAAAACCCTCGTGTTCTGTCCAAAACCCCAACCCTGATTTAGACAAATGAATGTGTTACAAAGTTATATATTTTTAAAAAAATGTATATAACTCTGCTTCAAAAATTTGCAAGATTCTATTATCAATCTAGAATGTTAATTTATCTTTTCAGTTTTTAGGTTTTGCCATTTTTTATTTAAAAGTTTGTTTCACACAACTTTAAAAATTATATAGAAAATTAAAAGAGAAATTTGTTTTTATTTGTAGTCGTTCTTGATTATTGTAAACATTGCATACTAACATTCTCTGTCTTGTCCAGTGGAAATAAGATAAAAGGTTTTCAAGAACATTTATTTCTTTTAAAAAGTCATTTTTAAACTTTTCCTTTATTGCATTCATTACAAAAAAAGTGATAAAAGATTGACAAATTCTTTTCACTTTCTTGAGGAAAGTCACTTTACTTATCTGTAAGAACGTGTTTAACTTATAATTCTTTCGTATGTTAAACTCATCCTTCTAGGGCAGGTTAAGAGATACTACTAGGGCTGCATGGCCAGACTTTAAATTCTTTTTAAGGCTCTGCCAGGGACCCAAAAATAAAGAAATGTAAAACTGATTTTTTTGAACTTTCAAAATTTATTTAAATGCATTCTTTAGTTTGAATTCAGACTTTTCCCCTTCTTTTAAGATCCTGATGATTTTGTTAAAAAAAAAAACTACACATATAATTTGGTTCTTTCTGTCAGGCTCTTGTAAACATATTAAAATTATGATCTTGTTTTTGTGAAGAAGACTAAATATTAAAACCATATCCTGCAAGAAGTTGTAGTTTTAAAATTGCGAGTTAGAGAATTCATTGACTACATTTTTTTAAATGATGTTGTGAAGAGTTTATTTTTTTAAATAAAAAGTACTCCCTTCACGAAATAACTTAGAATATTTTATGAATGATTCGTTTCTACTATAAAATAATTTATGAAGGATTCATTAACAGACCCAAATTTCACGTAAAATGAAACTTAAAATTTCCCAAATATTTAAATAGTCATGTTCAATTTATGCTTTTCTCAATGATAATGTGTTAAGTAAATTTTAATGACTGTTCTCCCCAATTTTTTTTCTTTTCTTTCTTTTTCTTTAAAAAATAAATCAATAATTAAGACTTTTATAGGAACTTAAAAATTTCAAAGAGCAGTTCTTTTTAATGTTTTTGTAAATTACACTTGGCTTAAATTGAATATGTTTAAAAAAAAGTTTCTATGTGACTGATAATTTTAATTATAATAATTTTAATTTAATTTTAAATTATATTTTAATTATTAATAATAAGAAGCTGCCGGCTTCTTCATAACTTGATCCATCCCTGTTCTCATTGTACTACTATTCTCCTGACTCCCAATAAATGGCACTCAAATGATTATGTTTGCTGAAATTTAGTAACCTATCTTTTCTTTCAATTACTCTTGCGTGTTCTGATATCACAGTGTTCGAGTTAACCCTTTGTTTACAGCTGGTACGATAAGTGAACCAGAATGACTTCATCAAGTGCTATAAGCAAAAGGTTAAATGTGAATTGTTGTTTCCTCATTAATTCACAAAGTTTTATTTGTGTTAATAATTAGCTTGAATTTCCATACAGAAAGATTAGTGTTGTTAAGGCAATATTTATTATGACTATTCCTTTTTAAAAACTATTAATAATGATTCCACTAAATAATTTTTATTTTTCAGATTATGCTGTTTCAGAAATTGATGCAGCCGTTAGCTCAGATAATATTGAAGTAAGCTATTACATTATAAAATATTGATTATCATAAAATGGAGTTTAATGTAAAGAAATGTTACTAAATTTTAATATTACAGATTCACAAATTAGCATTATGAAATCTTCATGATTTGGCTGGGTTAGTCTGTTTAAACCAATGTAGTTTTAAATAAGATTTAAACCAAACAGTTTAATTTCTTTAAAATATTCTTTTTTTTTTTTAAGAAAAACCTTTTATTAGCTTACATTACTATTATTTTTATAACTGCTATAAGTTTAAATATAACCAAATAAAAGAGTTGTGCAAAATTGTTTCAATTTTTATTTTAAGCACTTCAATGAACACTAATATTTATTTTTAAAATGTTTACACGTCAGTGCTCTTCTCTACATATAAATAAAAAAATAGACATGAGCAAATTTAAAGATGAATCATGAAGTCTCTAAAAATGTTTAAAATAAAGCAGACTATCTCCAGCTTTATGCTCTTATAGATTTTAAAATTATTTAAATAATGTTTTTATATGATGAATTATGATCAAAAATTTATTTTAACTCTTTTGTTATCTTGTTAAATAGTAAATTGTGGGTGAGTTTTTAAAAATGAACACATCTTGAAATGCATGTTTGAGAAAATGGACACATTAAAAAATTGACTTTTTCAGTTTTTGACCCAAATTTAACAATTAAACAGGTAACAATAAGCGTAATTATTGTGGGAAAAAGTTCTGGTCTTCAGAGTCAGGGTGGCTAGGTATATTTCAGGTGTAACTTTTATGGTGATATCTTCGCAATAAAAGATAACTTCGCAATAAAAGAGTTTTAAAATTATCTGTTCTTGCAATGTAAATTTATTACCAGTATTGTAAATTGGTACCCGTTGCAACCTCAGGAAAATAACTGTAGACTTTTTAAGTCCTTTCAACAAAAGACACTTAATAAAGTGGTTTTTGAACCAAGTGGTTTTTGAAAATTGCTAACATCACAATTTTTACATTTGCTGGATCATTATTTAAAGAAAGAAAAATATTCATAAGAGAAGTTGGAAAAATAAAATGAAATGTTATGTCAAATTTTGTTAATAGTTATGTTAATTTTTGTTAACATGCATTTTGAGCTGTGTCCATTTTCGTAAACCCTCATTTCAACTGACCTATGTCCGTATGTTAGATTTAAAATAATGATTTTTAGAAAAAAAAATAACAAATCTTGTACTATTAAGCTAAGCTGTTTCAAAATTTTGAATTGATTTCTTTGTACTGTTTATTTAAAATTTTAATCATATTAACAATTCATAAATCTTAAAAAATTAGAATGATTAATCATATTATAAGCAAGTATAGTTACAAATCTTCTATGATTTTGGTTAAATGATTTCAAAGTTTGATCTCTATCATTTTGTTTAAGAACAGGAGAAATTATTAATTCAATAAGCATAAATTTATCAAAATCAGGAATTAAAGGAGCATGCCAGTTTACTTTTGACGATTATTTTAATACTGTATAGATTTAATCATAAGTTATTGGAACTCTTTTTTTTATTATTATTATCATTATTATTTAATTCAGAAGATATTGAAATTATTAATTTTGAATCTTATCTTTAAGTTGAGAGAATATTTTCTGATCAGGTTTTTTTACTTTGCTTTGTATATTTTAAATTTCTTAATCTTTATCATTGCTTCCAATTAACCATTAAATTATAATAATGATCATATACTAATTTAGTTATGTGATATGATTTTATTAATGTGTTTGGTATCTGCCTAATTCACAATTCTTTATTAATTTGGTTCAATCAGTAATATAAATCTGATGAAATAGTGTCTGAAGGAAGATCTTAATAATGGATAGGTGAAACAGTGGTTCCCAAAAGGTGTTCAGTGGTACCCCCGTATTTCCATGGAAGTATTACAGGGATTGCAAGAGTTAGAATTTTTTTTTCTAACTAGTAATGATAACATTTATATCCAATCAACAATCCATAATTTAATGTTTCGGTTGTTTATATGGAATTATTTAGCTAAAAATGCCTATAAAGAAAATAGCAAAATTTAAAAAAAAGAAACATTTCTCAAACAATATATTGAATAAATTATTTTTTTCAATAACAATCTATTTAATAAATTACAAGAATGAGCATTTATGAGAAATTAAGTATTTCTCGTTCAGCTTTTCAATTCAAAATAAAATAACTAATTTAATTTCAAAAAGAAAGATTAAGGTATCAAAGAATTGAGTGGGAGTCTCATTGATTATAACAATTTGTTTAAATTCATTTTATCAAACATACTCGCCAAGAACAAATTGATATTATTAAACATTTCATTCGTCACATAAAATAGTTTCAAAATAATTGGAAGTCTTTTTTTTTTTTTTTTTTTTTTTTACATATATAAAATGCTGGGATTATGCTAAAAGAATCTCGATCATTTAGGGTTCCAACGCCGAAAAAAATTGGGAACTGGAAGAGGCAAATATTGTACAAATGTTATGATCTCTATTAGTAGTGGTAATTCTAAATTCAATATTGTCGATACTCTTGAAAAAAAGCTTTAAAAAAATTTCCTCTTTTTCTTTTATTGAAACATGTAGGGATGCCAGAACGAGGAAATTATCACTTAGAGTATGAAGGTCCTACAATTGTCTTGTAAATCTTTTTATTTAATTGTTAAATGTTTTTCCCTGCAAAAGTTGTAAAAAAAAAAATACTTAAACATTGAGAAAGCTTAAATTTCCATTAAAATCTTTCTGCAATGACCTGCTATTTCTAAAATTTATTGACTTTATCAAAAAGTTTTCTTAACCTTTATTTAAAACACAAAAGCTTTATTTACAAAAATAAATGTTTAAGTTTTTTTATGGAAGAGTTGAGCTTTTACTGTATATAATTTATTGTGTTAATTTTTTTTTCTTTTACTTCTACTTTAGGAAATTGATACACATGATGATACACTCTATGGACATGTTAATGAAGCGGAAAAAGTTATTGCTAGCAGACAAGTTATAATTGAGAATCGGAAAATATCTTCAGACACTAAATTAAAATTGGGCAAAAAACAAGAAAGATTAACTTTTAGGGAAAAAGAACCAATTTTACCTGAATTAAAACGCATCCTAAATAGAAAGAATCTGAAGACTGTTGATTCTTCATTAAAAGGTATACTTTTTTTTAATAAATTTGTTTATTTTTCATTTTTTTATAATTATTTCATTTAATCTATAGAGAAATGTTTGATCTACCTGTGAGGAAACCAATTTAAGCAAGGTTTTGAGTTCAATGACTAAATTCTTTAAATACTTAAATATTTTTCAGATATTATTGAATAATAAAAACCATAGTTTACCATCCCGTCCAAAACTCTCTTATTCTGCCCAAAACAATTTCGATAAACTCCTCAGTATGTAATTAGATATAGTAGAAGTTTTATTTAAGCAATACAAAAATATTGAAAATATTAGTTATAATAATAATCTAACAACTTATTAGGCAAGCTATTATTAAAGATAAATCCATATCTTTAAAGAATATTAATTTAAAAAAAAAATATTGTTTCATCCTCTGGAAGTATAGTTTTTTGTAAAATGCTAAACAGTTAAAAAATTGGTAAGAACTATAGCATATAATAATATATTAATCAAACTGTAACTTTTAAATCAGAATTTCATCTTTGGCATATTTTTCTAAAAAAAATAAATAAATAGCTTCATTTGCTATAATTTTTAAATTACAATTAATTGTAGAATTTCAATTAATAAACTTATGTTTAAAATAAAATTTCCATAAAAATTATAATTGCATACTTAATTTTTATATGCAATAATTGAAAGAGAGATAACAGTTTAAAGAGTTACATATAAAGTTTTACTTATTTTCAGAATTAAAAGTTATGAACTCATTCATAGCCATTATTCAATCTGTTCAAGAGGTTCAAAAGTCCAACCCGGGATGAAAATATTTTTTTCAGAAAAAATTTTTTTCTCAGCATATCTCAGAGGGACCACATCTAAACCCAAATAAAAGTTGCAATTCAAAGATTTTTCGGCCTTCATTAATGAAAAATATGGAAGACTAGAGTTTTCCTATTTTATTTTGACTTGATGTCAGTAAAAAACACTTTCTTAATGTTTATTTTTCTAGTTATTGTTATCTTGTATTTTGCAGACTAATAATTTTATTTCAAGAAATTTTAAACAGGTGCAATTCTGTTAATTTCTTTCTTTAAAATGAAGATATTTTTTTTCTAATAATGTCATTTGCAAGTTGATCTTTATTTGTTTTTCATGTGTTTCTCATCCTTTTGGGCGAAGCTAGTCTGATAGTATAAAATTTAAATTAAACTTAAGCAACATGAAAGTTTTTATGTACAACTCTCTTATATTTAAACCTTCAAGTGTTGAGCCCCTGGATAAAATTGTACAGAAATTTTCCTGCCATGCACTATTTTTCTATTCAATGATATTCATAAAGAGGTTTTCTGATGCAAAAAAGCCTGCATTTGAAAGTTTGGATAAAACCAAGACTAATACTCAGAAAGATGCTCAATGTTTTAAAATTCTGCTAAATATTGGTTTGATTAAGCTTTTTAATCTCTAATTGATTTTGTTGAAGTTATAAACGAAATTCAATTTTGAAAGTTATTGATAGAGATTGAATCTCTGAATTCTGCGAACTTGATTTAAGGTAATTATATCAACTGAAAATACTTTAAGTTTTGTTGATAATGTGCAAAGACAATTACCAAATATTTTTTTACTTAAAATCTTTATTACATGCACACATTTTTAAGGTAACATTTGTTATTAAATATGTATATGATAGACAACTAGTTGATCTCTCAAAAAGGTTTTTGTGTGGCACAAATGATCTATACGTTAAACTTACAAAAATGTTAAACCTTCAGCGAAAAGTTATTTTGAAAGATATTTGTTTACTTTGGATTTTGGCACCAATTACTAAAATGTTTAATTTGTAAACATTTGAATGATTATAAATTAAAAATTTGATTATTAAAAATTTACTTATGTAAAGTTAACATTACCTAAATAAATTTTTCATACAAAAGTATTTCCCTGGCAAAATTAGTAGTAAATTTCTGAAAAGAATAGAATTAAATTTCTTAATACCTTACTAACATACCTCAGTTTTCTCTCAGATAATTCTACTTATATTATTTCTTTGAATTCGGAGTAATCAATACATTTATCATCACAAAAAGTGTTGGATTTTATTATTTTGAAAAAAACTCAGAGAAAGATCGTGAAATTTTTTTAAAAAATACCTTGAAAATCGGGGGAATGGCTTAATATGAATTTCGGGTACATATAAACTCCTTTTTTGCAAAAAGTGGTAAAAATTCTGACAGATATTTTATGATGTTTGATTTTGATTCATTTTATTTTATGCTAATAAATAAGTATATTCTCCCCCTCCCCTCGCCAACTACATATTGATAAAAATGTTAGATAGGTAGAAAAATTAAGGAAACATTTTTTCCCCAGGATGCAGCTTTCCTTTTAAAAGATAATGATAAACTAGATGATGCTTTTTTAAGCAATTTCTTGAATCTCCACGAATACCACCACTTATTAACAATTAAAACACATATATTAAATATATGTGTGTTATAGCTGTTAATAATTCACCAGTGGAAAGAAACAGATTTAAAAGGTTTCAGACTACCAGTTTATTAGTATTACTTCTGAAATGATATCTTTCAAATAAGTAGCAATCCTGCATTCATCTCATCTCCAAGAGTAGTTTTACATGATGATATTGTCTCATTTCTTAGTATAAAATTGATAACAATGAATATTTAGATAAATATATCTATTTATTCAAAACTTCTTTTTGGATGCATATATAACTTAATTTTATATTAAACTTCTTTTTTTAGGTGCAAAAAGTTCTAGCTCTAGTTCATCATCTGACTTTAACAAGCTTTGTAATACATTGAAGTTAATTAAAGATAAATTAGAAATTTCTGAGGAAGAAAGGTAAGCGATATTTTTATTACTCAATTAAAATTACTTTGTATTGAATTTTAATTCTTTAATTTTGTGAGATAAATTTTAATTCTTTATTGTGTTGTTTATGCTATTATTAACACTAACAAAGATAACTTTATTTTAAAACCAATTTAACGTACTTTTATTTTAAACACTAACCTTCAAAAATATTTTCTTTTGATTCCTATAATCTTTACTGTGTGTTTCTATTTGATTGGTGAAAAAAATTTTTTATATATTTATAAAAAAATTTTTATTTTGGTTGGGTTAGTCTATCGGATCTAGTTATCCGTTCATAGCATATATATATATATATATATATATATCATTTTTAGTGTTAAATTTTACTCATTGTGATTTTACATTCATAACGACTTTTTGCTTAACAAGAATATAATTTTACTTTTTACAAGTATAAACAAATAAGTTACATTTTTATCAAATGAGTGAATTATTTTTCTTGACATTTAAAAGTTTTTAAATAACTGTATAAAAAGAAATCTTAAACAAATTTCTTTAAATATTTCTCTTATTTATACATTACATTTTGTTGCTATAGATCATGCCAAAGTTCTGGAATCTCTAAGGGGACAATGGAATCAAATTTTGTGAGAAATCCTTTTATTAGTTTGCAATCTACTAAACAGCCAAAATCTATTTTGCGTAAACCCTCACATAGTTTTCCAAATGATAGCAAAGGTAAGTTAACTTTTTTATCCAGCCCATTAGTCTTTAAGAAGTAAGTTGTATAGAAATAAGACTATCAAAACCAGTTTGTTTTTAATAAAGTACTGAAAAAATTTCTATTACGTACTTTGCATAAAATAAATATTGAGCACACTGCTTATTTCTGGGTTCCCATGGGCTCAGGGAAACATGGAGTTATCAGGAAATTTTATTGGTGAAAGGAGATGGAATAATAAAATTTTTGGGCAAAACCTGAAAATATCCTGCAACAAATCTAAAAATTATTAATTTCAAATTTAACGGTAACAATAAGCAGGCAATGAGTTTCAAAATAAATGAGTTTAAACTATATTTATTATTCTTTTATTATTATATTTATTTTTATTGCACGGTGCAAAGCGTTTTTAAAAAGTGTTTAAGGGGATTTTCGTTTTTTGAAAGCCCTTAAAGTTGCTTTTTTCATTGGGGTTTTTAAAAAGTGCTGAATTTTCTCTTTTCCAAAATGGGGATTTTTTTCTTTCCCATGTTCATTTTTGTTACAAATTATGCAAAAAGATATTGTTCATATCATTATATTCAACATTTTCACAATTAATTCAACCCCAATCTATTTCGGCATAACATCGGTCCCTAGCATAGGAAAACGCCATTTGTTTTTACATGTTAAATAAAAAACCTGCAGGTCCGCGTCTGCTGAGCTGGCTTCAGTGAGGATGAATTCTGTCCTCTCATGTGAAACTCTGCTGCATTTTGCTTGAGATTCTCGATTTCAGACTTCAATTTCGGCCCTCTGAAATTGAACCGAAAAAGTCTCTAAAATTTCTGTTGATTATGGGGACCAACTAAACATAGTCAATATTTTTCCCCTAATAGCCATACAAAATCTTATTTCTCTTGTTGATTTTATCGTTGTTGACTCTCCATCGTCTTCGTCCCTAGCAAGCTAATGGCCTTCTCGCAATATTCTATTTATATATCAGTACCATAATCTTTGAACTTGACTTGGGGATCATTCACTGATTATGTATTTTCATGTGGGTCTTAGAACAATCAATAATCCTAAAGCTGCATCACCTCTAAATTTCCATCTCATTTTTATTCTTTAAATTTGAGAATTATATTGAGAATTTTAGGTGTATTATTTATGCTGCACCAACTGCATAAAATTTTTGTAAACTTTTATTGTACTTGATTACTTTTTTTGCTTATTATTTTTTATTAATCATTGTATTCTGTATATTGAAATATCTATATATTTAATTAGTATATATATTAAATATATAATATGTACAGTAAAGCGCCGATTATACGAACCCTTATTATCCGAACTATGTCCAAATTCTTTTTTTAAAATTTTTTTTATTTGAAGTTTAGAATATTTTTTTTACTTATCGACTCGACAGTTTTTCTATATTTAGAGGAATAAATAATATCCACTACATCTGAAAACCATATTTAATTTACAAGTTAATTTGCAGTTTTCTTATAGTAGCCATACATGTATTGCTATACAGTTAAACCTACATACCCCTTTAGACCTCTTCAACTGAAAATTATCTTCCAAGAATGCGAGCTTCATTTTGACAGTCTACACTGGTTGGAATGCGGAAGGAGTTTATGAATAGATAAGTGCTGAAGTTCTACAATTAGTGGATTGGTAGTTGTCACATATGGCTAATGATTAGTGATTACAGTGCTTGGAATCTTAAATCTTGGAATAAAATTCTTAACAGAGAAGCAAACGAAACTGTAGTTTCTGAATCAATAGATCTTCTGGATGAAAAGATGCCAGGTTATGCAGCTGAAGAAATAAAAGACTAGTGTCAAGGCACTGAAAACGACCCAGGGTTTCAAATTTTGAATGAAAATCAGAACCCCACAGACAATCAAGTTCAAGATAGTCCTTCTCATATGGAAGCATGCAATTCATTAGATATTGCAATGAATTGGCTAGAACGTCAAAGTGATGTTGATCCAGCTCAGTTGATTGATTTAAAAAAAATAAGGGATATGGCTGCTCAAAAAAAAGCATCTTCTTTGAAACAAAAGTCTTTGCTTGATTTCTTTTGCATTGGAAAATAAAGAGAAATGTGGTGAAATCAGTGATTGACAAAAAAATATTTAAAAAGCTGAAATATGATAATAATAATTCTAAATGAAAAAAAAGTTTTAAAAAAAATAAGTAAATAAATGAAAAATATTTATTTATTTTTCATAAATTTTTTTTTTCATTTATTTTTTATTATTTTACGAGCTATTTTAGATAGTACTGCCAGTCCTAAGCCTAGAAAAAGTGTGAAGGGAAGTTAGTGCTTAAATAACAATCATTTAAACTAGATTTTAAACAACTTTCTAGTTATTCGAACTTTTCATTATCTGAACAGTTCGGCAGTTCGGATAATTGGTGCTCTGCTGTATATATAATATTATTATGTACATGGTCACAAAACTCAATTAGCAAAATTACGTTAGTATTTAGTGAGAAATTAATTACTGTACTTTTGAAATGATCTGAAGAAAATCAATAATCCTAGTAGATTTTTTTATTATACATTAGAATGCAAACTAAGAACAAAGTAAAAATTTAATGAAGATATTGAATAAAATTTTTCAGTTTAATAATGATACTTTTTGTTCCATTTTCAATGAATTTGAATTATACATTTACTTTGCTTCCTACTTCAGCCATGTAGTTTAAAATGTATTATGATTTATTTTTAATATTTCAATTATAATTATATTTATCTAATTATGAACTGAAGTTCTTGAAAGTATATAATAGAAAAATACAAATAAATTATATTCTTTATTTATAAAAAATAAAAAAAAAATTAAAAAAGAAACTAGCCTAACTCACTAGTGAGTTAACAATGCAAAAAATGCTATATTTCAAAATTTCTCAATATATTATTTTTCAATTTAAATACTGCTAATGGAATATTAAAAAATTGTGAAAAAGAAGTTATTAATTGAATTGGGTTTTTATCTCATAAGTTGACATTTGATTTTTGTGAGTTTAAATCTGGTGTTAAAGTTTCTTTACAGACTTCTTGTTTTCATTACAACGGTATTCGATTAAAAAAAAATGCATATTTTTTTATTGTTTAGTGAACAATTTAATGTATTACGGAGGACCAGAAAGTAATGCCATTTTGGCGTATTAAATATTCTTTAGTCTTAGAAACCAATTAAATTTTTTTTTCAATTCATTTTCGATCCGCCATTGAAAGGTTCTTGCTAATGAGGGTGAATACATTACTGATACAAAATAAAATGTAGATAACAAACATCAAAACGACATTGCTTACTGGTCCCCTTAATAAGAAAGGATCATGCATTGCAGATATGAAACATTACATTTTCGAGGTTCATTTGTGTTTCTTTAATCCACTTTAGATGAGTGAATCATCATTCTTTATGTGTTTCATAAGTCAAATTGTTACAATCATGCTCTAGAACTGAAAATATTTAATAACTAGAAAAATATATGTTAATGACATGTCCAAATTCAATCAGGACTAATTAATATAACTGCGCTATCTATGTATAATGTTTTTATTAGCAGAACCAGCTGGAAAATACTTTTCTACTCTATAGAGAGAGAGCAGAACATGGAATTTAAATTCTTACAGTATTAGCCAGTCTAAACCTTTGGCTCACAACTATTTTCATGAAAGATATTTAAAAAATTTTGAAATGTTAATAGATGTAGTATAAAGAATTTTTTGGTATCCAAAATAATAAAAGAATGTAGAAACTGAAAAATGGAAACATGTTTATTGCAAAGTAATAATATTAACTTAAGGTTTCAGTGAGGTGACAATAGTTTCAATATCACACAATACACTTATTATAAAAATAAGACAATATCGGAATATCAGAAATTTTCTTATACTTAAAAGCACTATTCTTGCATAATGCCTTTTTTCGGCACTAAAACTCCTCTTGCCATTCTGTTATTCTTTAGACAAACATTTTTACACCAGAGTCAAACTCTATTACTTGCTCATTAGCCTTAAATATTTGGCCGAGGGACAATTTTGCTAACTGATGGAGATTAATATTTTTTAAACTAAATATTATGCATTTCTAACTAGTTTAATGGTAAAGGATATCAAGTGAATGGGACAGTATAAATAAATATAATATTCTTTTATTTTTTTTTAGAAAGCGGAAATACGCCTAGTTCAGAGTTTTCTATCATTGATTATACTGCTCAACAAAATGTTCCAACCAAGTAAGTATAATGCCAGTGTAATTAAAATTTCTTAATTTCAGAAACAATTTTTAGCTCTGATAAAATATGTTTTAAGTTATGGAGTTCAGATAGAACTATTTTTATATTGATATTTTGATTTTGATAATTTTTTTAAGAAAAAAATTTTTTTTAGTTAATTAAATGGTATTTACTTTTTGCCTACTTCTTAATTATTTGGCATAAACAATTCAAAATAATAAAATTAAGTATTATGTTTTATTATTTATTTTTGTGAAATAAATAATATTATTAAAATTATTGTTTTTCATTTGTTTCAATCTAAATTTAATTAAAATTAAATCATTGTTGATTAAAAAATAACTATATTTAGTACCTATAATATTAATTTTTACACAAGATTTGTCATCGTACCTAGCTCCTAAATAATCAGATATGAGACTTAAACTGTAGTTAAATTAATTCAAACTTTTTAATGTTGTGACGCTCTAATAAGCTTTTTTTTTTTTCCTTAAGACATAGATTTTTTGAAACCCTCCAGAAAAAAATATGGAGAAATTGTTTTATCTGTTTAATGTAAAAACGTATGTGAACAAATTTTTAATAGAGAAAGAAACTCAACTGTCCCATTAAATATATAGGTAACAAGACTAAATATATAAATCGCTTATACAATAATAACTTATATTTTTTTAATATATATATTTGTTTTAAGTCTGAGAAAAAATTTATCTTATCTTCATATTTATTAATGTAAGAATTTTAATTGTGTTACCCTCTGATTTGCTTCCTCTTCTCCCAAGTTGTGAAATGCTAAATTACCTTTTTATGTATAAGTTCTTTAATATTGATACAAGCAATTTTAAATATTGATAGTATTAGTTATTCAGGGTGGCCACCCACCTGGAAAACCTTGAAAACCTGGAATTATCAGGGAATTTTTTTATACTGGAAAAAACCTTCTTATTAAGCANTGGAAAAATCAGGGAAATTTAAAATCTGATTTGAGTGGCCACCCTGGTTATTATTCTGTTTAACATTTTGAATTTTTATAGCAATATGACTGTTCCTAGACAATCAAGTTATTCTGCTCAAGATGTTAGTTGCTTAAATAAAAAAGGAAATTTGTTACTTGGTTGTTCTGGTACAGGTCCTGGTCCTCCTCCTCCTAATGTAAGTAGAATTTGTAGGAAATTTTCACATTTTTTTTTTTATTTTATTTCCTCTTTAAGACTGGCTTGCACTTATGAGTTTAACTTTTTTATGATTAATGATGGGCTTTGCTTCTTTCTTGTTATCTCTTACAAAGGAATTGCTTAGCAATTAAGTGGAAGCCACAAATCCTAGGATTATTCTTATTATTTTCTTCATATGTAGTTATGTTGGTTTGAAATGGTGTCATTCATTTAGTTGATGTTTCCCTTAAAATTATAGATATTTATTAGTTTCTAATTTTCTTCAACTTCTTACTTAAAATGCATCAAAATTTGGGTTAAATTGAAAGGTGTATTAAATATTTACAATTTAGATAATGCTTTTGAAAATTATTATATGCAGTATTTATATACAATAGAAAGTCCCATATCCGGAATCGTTGAACTTCACAACCCCGGAAAATAGATTTTTCCGGATAATAGGTCTTTAAAGTAAACAGGTAAAAAAAAAATTCTTCATTCGATGACAAATAGACAATAATTAGCGTCAATTTCAATCTAATCTGTTGGTCATTCAAGTAAATTAAACCGGCCAGAAGATTTCGCTAATCTAAAACAGAGTGCCTGGCAGACAGATTTGTTGCACATTCAATAAAAACAATCTTTAACTTGAATTTTATTCCACTATTTCAAATAAGTAATTAAGTCCCAATAAAATTTTATAAAATCTTCTTCTATTATGTAAAAAAATAAACGTAAATTATATCCTAAAAAACATTCACAAAACAGATAAGATATATTACCTCAGTCCATTAGCACCCTTCGATAAAGTCGCACATTAATAACCTACAACCATATTTTCAACTGACCGGAACGAGATAAAACACACGTGTCAGTCAAACTGAATATCCTGTGTTGTTGTTATGTCATCCGCATCGCCGATGTGAGGCCATCCACAATGGGCATAGGCATGACATCATGGGAGAAGAGAAGGAAAAAAGTGCATAAAGGACACTCCGTTTTTACAACATACTCGATTAGCAATGATTCTGCTGTGAATCTGTGTGGTTTTGCCGATTTTTTTTCGGTAGCTTTTGAAACGGGTTTTTACCTTGTTTTTTAAATCTCAATGTTTTAATAGGATATTATTTTTATTTGCAATTATTCCGCAATCTAACGTAAATTTTCGATTGCTCATTTGTGGAATTGCTTTTTGATATCTCGATTTGTAACACTTTTTATTGCAATGTCAGGGTTCCCACGGTCCTTAAAAGTCCTTAAAAACTGCTTAATTTTTATTTTAGAAAATAAGGGCCCTTAAAAGTACTTAATTTTGGTATAAGTTTTTTAAAAGTCCTTAATTTTTTACCATCACTAAGGATAAGCAGAATGTTGCATAAAAATTTAAATATATTCAACTAAAAGATCCTCAGATTTTAATAATCATTTTATTCAGTTAACATTGCAAATTAATATACTGTTTTTTAATTTTTGTTCAATTTTTGGTTGCTTTAAAATTAGTTCATGTTTTTCACCAAAATGTTTAGTAACATTATGTAAAGTTAATTCATAATAACATGTTTGGCTGGAAATAATTTTGTTAAAGTTTATCATAAAAGTAATGATAACACGTTTGCTGGTCTAGTAGCGAAATATAAAAACTTCCTGTAATAATTTTTCAATGTTTTTGCCAATTTTCTTTATTTACTTTTTTTTAGTATGCATGAAAAAAATTGCTTTTATACATGAAAAAAATTCTTTTTTTACTTTTTTTTTAGTATACATGAAAAAAATTGCAAATCTTAATTTCTGCACACTTAATTTTACAATTCAATTTCAATGAAATCATTAAAAATGGAATACAGATTAGTTTAATGTGTTAACTTTTATAATCTAAATGACGTTAACTTTTAACAATCTGAAATTTTTTTCTTCAAAAAACCCGTCCCGAGTTTGCAAAAATAGCCTGATACTTCTTTGCCGAGCCCTGTTAATTAATACAATTATATCAGTGCTTACATTGTAATAAAATTATTTATTATTATTGTTTTTTTATTGGTGTTTTTAGAAAGGTAAATAATTAGCACTGTCACTGGTTGCATAAGTTCTTAATTTTTCAAAGAAGTGCTAAATTTTTTCAATAAAAAGTCCTTAAAAGTGCTTAATTTTTGCTTTGCTAAAAGAGTGGGAACCCTGAATGTGGTTTTCACGATCCCTGCATACTCATCCCTGCATACTTTATATATTATTCAATTACTAAATATTAAAATTTTTAACTATTGCTGAAATTAATAAATGACTTCTATTAAAGCATTGATAATTACTTAGCAATAAATTAAATATACCATTACAAGCTATTAGATAGTGTATTGGAAACTAGTAGATTACTAAATCGCTACTATTAGAAGTTAGCCAGAAAATTGATTTCAGTACTGTAGCCTCAGATCTACTATATTTGTCTTTGTGTCTGAAAATTGACCTTTATGTCAATGTGTAAAAATAAATCAAACAATCATAGTGCAATTGAATTCCACCTTCCAAGTTTTCCATTTTAAATTCAAATTCCCTAATCAAATCCTATTAGAAATTGTAAATTGTTTTCTAGATTGGAAGTAATACCTTAAAAAAATGCTTTTATCTTTTATATTCATGTATCAAAATTAAACTATTTTTGACTACTTTATAAAATCTACATTTACTTTTGCAAAAACATTTGCTGATTCCTTTGTTAAAATATTTCTGTGTTATTTGTTCCTGAAATCCTGTATTATTAATTCTAGAATCTGAAGAAAGCAAAGAGAAATCTGGAAAGAGGTAATTTTTTTTTCTTAAGTCTTTGTTCAATAATGCAAAACGTAAATAATTAAAAATGTAATTTCTTAAATGTATATTTATGTTTATATTATATTTAAAATTTGAGTATTATCAGGAATAAATATATTTTTCTTCATAGTTACAAACCCTTTTCTTTTATTGATAATAAACAATAAAATTTAATTCATGTAAATTAAGTTCATTTCAATGGCATTTTTGCAAAAATTAGAAATTTTCATGTCTTTTGAGGGGTCAAAATTAACTGTTTTTGAAGTAAAAAGTAAAATTTTTCATTTAGATGAGTTGGCTATTGTACTGTATGAGTTGGTATTGGTGTGAAGACTCACTGCTACAAAACTCAGATGAATATAATAAAACTTGTTCAAGAAGTTTCCATAGGCAAGAAAGAAAAATGTTTTAAATAATTAAGCTTTTTTAATCGAACAGACGAACAATATTTACAAAGTGGATAATTATATAAAGTGGATAATTATTTTTAAATTATCATAAATAATATAAGAAAGATTTGTATGTTGAAATTCTTCATTATATCATAGATATGTTGAGTAACATATATTGATATTTGACTTAGACATTTACTGACTTAAAGATTAGTATAGAAAGTACATGATAAATATAATAGCTGAGGTTTTATCTGCAATTAGGTTCTAAGGACTTTGTATGGTTTTTTCGGAATGTCCAGTAGATAGCAGCGCAATGCAATACAATTTATAATCTTCGTAAAAACATTTTTTAAGTTCTCACAAAAATACTCTATTAAATAATTTGAAAATGTAGTTTATCCTTTTATTGCTCCAAACTTTTTAGCTATCGTTCAAGTTTCATATTTCCATTCTTATTTAAAATAAAGTTTTGCCTTTTTTCTTTAAAGAATTTTTTAATTATAAATTATTATTAGTCTAAAGACATCTTTTTTTATTTAGATAATGATGAAAGCGAGATTGAGATTCGAACAAAGAAATCGTAAGTATTTTGTTGTTTCAGCTTTAAAAGAATTTATTTTTGAATCCTATAATCTTTATCTGATTTTGTGATAATAAGAGAGTTTGATGTTTGAAATTTAATTGATTCAATTAGAAATTTAAAACCCTAATATAAAGGTAAAATCAATATTTAAAGTTAAAATAAATCATCTTTCAATTAAAATATATCATATTCTGCTAAAGTTAATTGAGCAGAATATTGACTTTTACAACATCATAATAAAGGCTCAATAGTGATATTCCCTGAGCTTCATCTGTAAATGCAGTACTATCATAATCCCTATGACAGAATTTTTTCGGGCTTTCTGCGACAAATCTCTCCAGCATTAATATCTTTCTGCAAGATACTTTTAATAATAACAAATATATATGTTACTAATTTAAAGTAACAAAAGCGTGAATTGCAAAAGAAAAGAAACTTATCGGAAAAAATAATGTAATTTTTAAAATTTAATATGTAATATTTTTTATTCTATTATTATAAGCTATATTCTCGCATTTTGTAGGGAGAAAACACACTAATTATTTCCTTTTTCTTTCTTTGTAAGTCATCATCAAATTTAAAAACAAATTAAAAATAGTGAAATCCACAGCAGTAACTAAAGAAAAAAAAAAGATCGACAGCGAAATCACGCCAAATCGAACTCTTTAAAAAGGGGGGTTAAAAATGCTTGTTTTCATTTCACGATTCAGCTGTTATAATAAATAATATCAGATTAAAAATATCAGGTTTTAAAGACTATGTGGAAATCAATAGCAATAACTGCCAAAAAAATAGAACGAATATTTCTGCAGAAAAGGAAACCAAAATGTTTACTTCATTATTCTCAAATGAAAATAGAAAAATTTACAAGTCTTTTTTTTTCCCACTCCCATGCACAAGAATGGCATATAATTTTGAATATAATTCTGAAGAGAAGATAGAAGCTTTCGAAAATTTTTGCAGAAAAGAAATCCAAAATTTTTTGAACAACAATCTGAAAAATCTTTCTGCAAGAACTCAGTAACATTCTGCGACAATGTCGCCGTGTCGCCACGATTCTGCCACGGGGATCATAATAAAAGCCTCTCTTAGCCTTAAAAGCATTTTTTCATCAGGTTGCTCATGTCACTAGTATTCCCTTTTATAAACTCAGTATATTTAATCATCTGGCCTAATTTGAAAGATAATTAAACTAACATGGCAAATAAAACTGGATACTATATAAAAACTTAATACTATATAAGCTACAGACCTGCCAACTCATTGGCTTTTGTGTCCAATTTTAGAACCTCAGACTACCTAAGTATTTTCTCAGTTGGGCACCTGCACACTTAGCATGTATCTCTTGAAACTCTCTCCTTCATATCGGTGGCGTGATTTAAGTAGTTGAGTGTATTTGGCTCATCGTTAGAGTTTTCACTTTTAAAAATAAGAACTTTTTATAAAATGTCTGATAAACCAAGAACTTTAAAAAGTATAACCCTTTTAACAAAGCGTATGCATATGATTTCTATTTAAGAGTGATATCTTAATTCATGCTAAAGTAGATAAATTAAATTTTATTTTAATTGTTTCTTTTTTAAGCTTGATAATCTGTGTTTATGAAATTTGAAATAAAAGATGGCAAAACTTGCTTATTGGTATTCTAGAAACTTAGTTTTTTGCTTTACACTAATGAAGACATTTAAATTTTCGGATCTATGCAAAAGGGTGTAAAGTTAGTAACTCAAAAAGTAATGCCTACAGTGTGTTAGCCAAAACCGAGACCTAATTTTACTTTTTACCATAACAAATTTTGGAGAATTTGTAGACTGGAGAAACAAACCAGATAAAAGTATCTGCAAAGTTATCATATACTGTTTTTTAAAAATTGCCAGATGAGTCACTCAGTCTGCTTTAAAATATATTATTTTGAAATAATCTTTAAATATCAATAATTTTGTCTTAAGTATTTACATTTAACAGAAAATATTGTCAATATTTGCTTTGCCACTCAACTCCTTAAAATTGCTCCAAAAGAATCTTAAAATAAGAAACATGCCTTTTCAAGGAATATTTATCTAAGAATGTTTCAATAATTGTAATTCAAGAACGTTTAGTATTGCAACTTTGATAATTTGTCTTTACCGTGCTCTATGCGATTCCAGTAGTCGGTTCCAACGTAAATGTTTTAGTATAGTAGTACTTATCCTATGCTACTAATTCTATTGGATTATGCCAGTTTCTCCTGATTTAATGAAAAATACTCTTGGTCTTTATGTATATTTTTTCAAAATTCCTTAAAGTTCTAATAGTTTCTTAAAGAAATCCCTTTCAAAATGATTTTTTCCTGCAGTTTATTGCTTGGTTGAGTACTTAAATTAGTACTGCTATATAATAAAGTAAGCCTCTTTTATACTTATCAATTTGAAGCTTTTTTTTAATGTTGTAAAATTTCCGTTTTCATTATTATCAATTTAAGTTATAGTCACTTGAAGTTTATACCAAGTTATGTATGTGGGACTAGGATATTAATAAGCTAAAAAGTTTTAAAATATGACCTTAAAAATGCACAAAAAATTAATTCGAAAAATTACCTTATATTGAAAAATATTCTTTAATTTTCAATACAAGACCCTTTTTTTTTATGTCCTAACCTGTTTTTTTAAATTCATTGAAAAAAAAATTTTTATTTGTGAGAAAGATAAATGTAAATAAATACCTGATAAAAATGGATAAGTATTTATTAGTCTTTAGTTACAATATTCAAGAAAATAAGAATTGCATAGAATTACAAAATGTTTTTTGGTATTCTTAAAATCAAAAATATGCCTTTTGCCTGAAAGTTAATTCTTTCATCTTGGAAAATTGCAATCAATAATAACATTTGTTATTGGAGCATACTTAAAATACAAGATTAAAAGTAAAATTGACAGTAATTTATAAACAAAGAATTAACTCACAAGCAAAACGCTTTGAAAATTAAAAAATATCAATCACATTTTATTTTTAAAAAATCTATAAATGCCCTTTTTAAGAAAAAAAGACCATAGATGCATTTATCATCATCCTGAGCCTAGTAGTTATTAGCTTATTATTTATTTATTTGCAATAGTAAATATGACATTTACAGTATATTGTGTAATCTCTTAGATATTTTTTTTTCATGTATGCTTCAACTACAAAAGGTAGATAGAATAACAAAATTTATGAACATAATATTTCCTAATTATAACTTTTGTATACTATTTTTATGTATCTGATTATTTATTTTTTTATGATATTTTTAGTAAACCAAGATGAAGTAAAACAAATATTTTCATGTTGATGGCACAAATATAAATGAGCAGAAATGTTCATAATGAATTACTACAGAAGAGATCCTTGAGGGCCATTTCAAGCCTGATTGCTGCTTGAGGAAAACCACATCTAGAGTGGTTTTAATTAGATATCACATGAATGATATCTAAGTTTCCCTCCCTGCTACAAAAGGCTAAGCATCTCACTGGCCAGGCATAGCTGTGTGGTCTGCTATAGACGATGTTTAACCTTTGGAATAAAGTCGCATGTAGGAATGCCATACTGTATAAAATCATACAGTTGGGAGTTGATTTAGATCATCCATCTGCTGGTTACTGATAATCTATTTGATAGTCGGTAATGAAGTATTTTACTTCTCAAGATCCTTATGCAGATCCTGGTATATTTTAATGCCTTATGTCTTCTGAAATTCTAATCATTTAGAAATGGTTTCAGAAACACTGTTATTTGCCTTTTCATTAATTTCTGTAGAAAAAAAATCAATTTGTTTAAATGTCATGTTTAATGTCCTAGCAAACAGTCTTGCAATTTGAATACTCATTTGTTTTTTAAAAAATATTTAAATATAGGTGGGAATCTACTTAAAAGAAATTTGGGACCATTAATAAATCCTTCGCAAATCATTTAATCGTCAAAGTGAATCCCTCACAAATTATTTTATCACAAGAATGCACAGATTATTTCGGTATAAAAGCAGACCCTTCCCAAAAAATATAATCCCAAAACTGGATCTCCACAATATTTTTTAGTTTAAAAAAAGTCATTTTACAAAACTGTTCGTTTGAAAAATGAAATTAATATTATCATTAATTCATAATTTGATTTTAGTACTCCTTGAAAAGCATTGTTTTGTGTGTTTTTTCCCCTTTAAAATGGGACTTTACTTTCTTGCATACATATAAACTGAATCATGTCAAAATAAGAAAGAATAGGATTCCATGCTAAGATTCAGATAATTAGGATTAGATTTTTCTCAAAAATTTTATATTTACGTATGAGTAGATTTTCTATATAATTTCCCAAAAACATGACCATTTACAAAAAGTTTAGAATCACTTCTTAAATATTTAATTAAGCATTTTTTCATGATACAAATTTTCTAAAAAATAATTGCCTTACTTAGACATGTATTTATTGCTTTAATGTTTATTGTGGCTTTTTTTTTATGCGGTTTTTATTAGGGATGTAACAAATAGGGATTTGGTCAAAAGTCGAGTATTCGACTGATTTTTCAAAAATATTCACACAAAAAAAACATTTTAAAAATGATATATTAATATTTTCATATTTTCGTGTATATAAATAAGTTTTAGTGATTAATAAAAAATACTCAAAACTTATCTACATTATTTGTGCGGGGTAAAGGTGAGAAAAAAAAATTATAATAGAAATATGTAATAGTTGTGTGTGTGTATGTATATATATATATACGTCTATTCTTTCATTCTTGGATTTCCTCTTTTTTACTTTCTGACTACTCTCATCCCTGCAGAAAACGTGATGTGCAATCCAATTAAACACTCAGTCCTTACGGTATTACTAAAAATAACTACAAACATATTCCACCTAAAGCCATGGTGGCTCAGGAGATAGATAACTCGCCTTCCAATTAGATGAACCGGCTTCGAATCTCAGCAATGGCTGGTGGATGCGAATTCCGCTCCCAGGTCGTACCGAGTGCAAGCTGGCATAAAATATCCTCAGTGGTAGGCGTATAATGGGTTTAGAGACCTCTGACCATCAGATTAACCATGAAAGGTTTTCCTCTTCATGCAAAGCAAATGCGGGTTAGTTCCATCAAAAAGTCTTCCACAAAGGCAAATTTCTCCCAACACTTGATTCAGGTGTTACCTTGTCTTCTAGGTTAGATTCAAAATTACAAGTCAACGTAGTTGAACATTGGTAGTCATAAACTCTGACAAGTTCTGGAGTAGAAAATCGGATTACGGAGAGCACTGCATGTTTTGATTTTATTGAAAAAGTAGCACTATAGAGTTATATTGATGGCTATCCACCCATGAGATTTGAAAACAACTAAGTATGGATTTTAGAGAAAAGCGTTCATTTTTTTTTTACCTTTCAGGTTTTATCTAAGGGCTATAAAATATCGGGTTAATTGGCCAATTTTAAATAGGGTCTACATTGGATGAATAACGTCTTTAAAATATCAGGTGAATTGTACAATTCTATATATGGCCTACATTGGTTAAGTAACGACNTATTTATTTGTAAAAAAGCATTTATTTTAGGATTCTAAAATGAAAAGAGATCAAAAACTTTCAATCTTTTAAAAATTATTACCCTTATATTAATTATTAATATGTTAAAAATAATTTTTTCATGTAATGTATCAAAATTATTATTCCTTATGATTGAGTTAAATTTGTTTCAAGTATTTTGTAATAATATTTAATCAGCTATTTAGATAATTTGGTTTTTGCCGGTTTTTATAAGGTTTTTGCCACTGTCCTGGCAAAAAACCCTTTTTGCCGGCAAAAATTCCAACCCTGGCTAATAGCATAATAATTTGATTACAATGCCCATTACAATTATTCTCATTTTGTTGTATACATTTTCAATCATTTTAAAAATTTATTGATTTTTAAACAGCCATTTAAATGTACAGTGCTTTTTTATTTTTTTTAAAGTTTTTTATCCAACTGCTCTGGATATGGGACTTTACACTGTAGTTGTAACATGATTGCATGTAGACGATTAAATTCTTCCCTCTTCATTTTTTTAATTGACTGAGCATTTTGTGAAGATGAAAGGAATCCTATCACCTGTTTTTTGTGTTAAAAAACTGGTTTCCCACTTTGATTGTCTAAAAAAGATTTCCTACAAAAAGAAGTTAGCTCCTAATTTTCTGTTTTCCGCTCAACTGTATTTCTATTCTTTGAATAATATAGTAACTGTTCGGAACTGTGTGTTCCTCATGCTCTGCTGTTAGTTTATTGAATGTATTTTGTGTACTCTCAGAAAAGATAATTTTGAAATTTTTTGTCTTCCATTTAAGATAACATAAACTGCCTTGTAATTCATAGAGTTCGTTTTAAAATTCATCCTTAAGTTCAAAGCATCTTAAATAGTAGTAATAAATGAGATAGATAATGAATAAGATTATGATAATGAATGAGATTGCTAAAAACCGGTGTTGTAACTTTTTTTTTTTTAACATAATTTTTGACATTTAATTTCAGTCTATATCTGTAAGGGGTCTATGTAAGTAGAGGCTGCTTAAAATGGTTTAGTAGGAAAAGAGTATAGTAGTTGAAGAATTTAAAATGTCCTGCAACTCTCTTTAAAAAGCCTTGAAATTTGCTGGTCCCTAAAAGACAAACTGACTCAAAATTTCGAAAATAAACTCTTAAATAAAATTTTGAGGGACCTAAAATTAGCAATTTTTTGTTTAGCTTTATCTAAGTTTGAATGTTCTACTTTAAAGTTTTGTCTGAGTAAAATACATTTATCTTCATTTTGCAAAGCTGTTTCTTTATTGATTTTATTCTAGTTATTCAAAACAATATTTGTGTTTGTTATGCTATGACTGTTCTCAAATCTTAATGATTAACTTTCTTGTTAGTTGCTTTTAATTTTTAAAGTGTCTTATTAATCCTAGGCCTATGGCATTATAATTTAAATGAATTTGAGGGACTGACTGATCTGTGTAAAGATATTTCTGTTGCAATAATTTTGAATATATGAAGCAGTAGCCTTAAAATTATTATTATACCTGATTATTACTTCTAGAGTACCTGAACACTATGCTGATTATTTTTGTTGTTTGTCTGGGTTTGTCAGTCATTCCTGTAGTTAGTTTTAAAAATATTTATGGAGCTAATTAGCTTGGCAAATGAAATCTTGTATCATTAGGTTTTTAACTATCTTACCTATTAACTTTAATTATAAAGTTGAAAACTTCTCACTGGCCTAAATTATGAGTACCTTTGTTATTTGATTGTAGTCATTGAATAATTATAGAGCTTAAAAACTATTTAACTGAATAAATGTAGCTATCTGTACTGTAAAAAAAAAAAGGAAATGCTAGATAACTATTGATCTAATATTAAAATTTTTACATTTGAGATGTATTCTTTATGATCCAGGGAGCAAATCTGTGATATAATATGCTAAATAATTAGTGTAAAAGGATGATAAAGTCACAAAATTGAATTAAACTTCAGAATATTCTTTTTTTCAAAAAACCCAATATAACAAACTGGAGGAGAGTCTAAAATTAAAATCCATTAACTTGCTGATACTTTTCACCATATTTCTTTATGGAGCCTTAAAATATTTGTAGCACTTTATTAAAACTCATTCCCAGTACCACTACTTACTCCAAGAGAAAAAGTTTTTGAAACAAAACAGAACCATGCTACTACTAGACTAAATCCTTATATTGAATCAAGGTACCTGGTTTCACCCCAGGTTCAGAATAAAAAATAAAAGTTCAAATTGAAAAAGTTGAATTTTGCTCTTTTAGATGTACCATATAGTAAATATGTTTGAAATGTACCAAATTTATTGAAATCAAGCTAAAAAAAAATTTACTTAACATTATATTTTAAATTAAATCGCAAAGATTTGAATTAAATTATAAATTCTTGGTAAAGAGTGTGAAGATATCAAATCTAGGATATTATAGGGTGACGTTACACAGAACTCACTGCATTAATCTTTATAAAAATTAATGTCAAGCCCTCAGTTAAAATATTTTTTTCACTGATAAAAAATAAGTATTTTTTGTTCACCTTTTGGAATTATATGAGAATGCCTTCAGGCACAGGAGTACATAGCTGTGAAAAAAATTATAATTTTTCTGGTATTAGTTTTTCCTATAAGTAAAAAAATATGTAAAACCATTAATATAAACTATTTAATTACTCCAAACCTAATCTTAAATTTAAACAACGGGAAACTTGTAGCACATTTTCAGACATTAAAGTATGTATAACTTCAAAAAAAAAAAAATCAGATTACCCTTGCTAATAATTTCTGCTAAATTAAATTATGTTATGCAAAAAATAATAATATAAAATACTTTAAAAGCTGATGAAATGCATTTCATTTCATCTTTCAATTTTTTTATTGTAACACTGAGAGTTATACTCAACAAAAAATTTCCTGTCACAAGAAGCAATAACTTGTTTTTATAGTATAAAGAGATTTCTTAGTATAATTAACTGCGTACTCAAATTAGAATATTTCAGGTCTTCACCAAGAGCCTTTAAGATTAATCATAGTTTAAAGAAAATCTGATTTTTTAGGACAAAATTCATTTGTGCCTTTTTTTCTTCCGACTGTGCTTATCTTACCATTAACACAGAGCCTTCCCTGTAATTAGTTTTGTTGCTGTGTGGGAAAAAAAATTAGATAATAAGCATACTACCTTTCATTTGAAAATAAGTATATTCTTTACTCTGTTTAGTGCCAAACTTTCATTACTTTTTCACAATTTGTAGAGGGGGGAGGGATAATAATTTCTTTTTTAATATCAGATTCTTTTTTCATTTATTATTAAAGCTATTTATGTCTTAAATGAAAAATTACCCCTGCTGTAAATTATAAACAGTTTAATAGTTATCTGTGAATTTTATAAATAGAAGGTATTATCACAAAGTTGTTAGTTCATCTTTTTAAAAAATTTCAACTTAATGTCATTGTTTGTTTCTTGTATAAAGCAACTATTTTTGCCTAGGTATGTTAGATTTAAGGATAAAAATATTATATTATTTTCTGGTTATCTTTACTGTTTTATTGTTTTCAAAATTTCTGAGGAGCTAGTTTTAAATTCATATTGTTCAGATAATTTATTTATTATCATTATAGCTAAAAATTATTGCTATTTTTTTAGTATCACTAAAAACTGTAAACTATTTTCTTTTTAAACAGCATTTTCAATTTTCCAAACAAATTGTGAAGTAATTTGAATATTTGAAATTAGAAACTATTTAAGAAGGTTGATTATTTATATTATTAATTTTTGAAAACTGAGGTTTAGTTGTTAAAATTGAATTCTCCATTTGAATTATTAAAATGTTCAAACTTCGAAGAAAACCTCAAAAATAAGGCAAGCCTTATTTTTTTTAATAATAATTTATTAGTGAAATAAAAATTATTGTAAATTGAATCTTGTACTGAATTTTCTAATTTATTTTAAAATTAACTGTATAAGAAAAATATAAAATTACAATTTTTATAAATTTTATTTTTATTTTGAAAAATAATAATATGTGCATTTTACTTGGAATTAATTCATAAAGGCAACTGAAAGATTAAATGGAAAATGAATTATAAGTTGGATCGAGATAGGTATAATTTAAGGTTTCAAAACTCATCACTTTCAAAAAAAACTAACTCACAAAACCCCTTAAACTCTTCCACAAAACCCTAAGGTTCTGTGGAGC